GTCTTTTTTGCTCCTCTCTGCACATCTCTGCCCCTTGCAAGCTATCATCATCCCCGTTTTTCCAGATCGGGGGCTGAATAGAAGCCATCGTTGGCTCTCTCCCTATCAGGAAAGGAGCAGTCAGGCATAACGCGCCCTCTTCTACAGTCAGGGAAATGGACTCTCACAAAAGCAGCATCCTGGCAGGAGAAGAACTAAGAACGGAATCCAGAATGTCAATTACCAGCTTGTGGCATTTTGCCATCTTGAAAAAAACCAGACACAATCCTTTAGAGCACCGTAAAATGAAATCCTTATCGGATACTCAGGCAAGCTGCCACTTAAACAATGACTCTTCCGTCCTGAGAATAGGTTATTTCTAACTGCCTTTCTGTTCTTACGTGGAGAACTCACTGCCAGGTGGGTTTCGGGACTAGCTTTCCAGCCGAAGTAACATGATGAATGGCGACTCAGATCAAAGCGAAGGCCAGTCGTTATTTATCTTAGCGGGTGTGGGTTGAATTTCACTCTGAGAGACGGCATACATCGAATGGCTAGAGTGCAGAGCCCCAGAAAAAAAAAAAAAAGCCCCAGGACAAAATAATTGGTGGTTTGTTGACCATGAGGGTTAGTAATCGATTTGGTTGAACCAGATGGAATTTCTAATTTTTCATAAATCAGAAATGGTTAAATATTAGTAATTGCACATGGTTCAATCTGTCGGTTGACGACTACTCGAAAGACACTTGAGTTTGGATGTCCTCTTTCATGAGCTCTCAGAGAATTTTCTATGGCCAAGACGGCCACACCCATTTAAAAAGGGGACACGGGAGCCCAGAACACAGTCAAAAAGCAAACCTGGAAGATACTGGAAGCTGGAATTCTCACTGGGCTCTCCCAGCTTTAGGATGGCATGTAATCCATCCTTACCAAATGTGCTCCTTGGAACTCTGACCTCAAGGGATGCTAATGGCATTGAGGGAGAAGAAAGCATGGGAGATCCTGGAGCCAAACTGAGTGAAACCGCTCTCTTTACTACAGGATTCCTGGGAGCCCGGAGCATGCCACGCCTGTGACAAATCCACAAAGGGGAGACGGCTTGTATACAGTGTTTTCCAAATATATTCAACCCAAGTTGCTTCTCACCTTATTCCCCACACTTTAACATACACAGACATCACCTAGGAGTCTTGTTAAAATGTAGATTATACTTCAGTGAGTCGGGGACTCTGCATTTCTAACAAGCACCCCGGTGATGGTGACAGGGATGCTGCGGGTCCACGGACCACAGTTTGAGTAGTGGAGCTCTAAGGGGTTTGGCGTCTCTCGGGGACCCTTCCCAGGCATCTGCGTGGGCCTGGCTCTGAACACAGGAGCAAGGCAGCGCCTGGGCCTCACCTCCATAAACTCGGCGCTGGAGCCCACGTGCTGTCGAAAGCACAGAAGGAAGTTCTCCTCAGTCGGCAGGATCTGTGCCAGCTGTGGGGATCAGAGAGCGACAGTAACATTATGGAGAGCCCTGCCAGGAAGCAGAGCAGACTTTCCTGTAGGAAGGATGGAAGACAGCTGCGTGGGAGGTGCGTCTTGCTCCGTTTGGCTTCCTTCCTGAGAACAGCCCTTCGAAGGGGAGGAAAGATGTTCCAAGAAGTGCCTCTTTGTCACCCCGAACCTTAGGGGTAGGAGCAGCCAGTGGGACAGAAAGTGGTACCAGGTATGTGGTTTAGTGCTGCCCAATTCCAATAGATCTTTTGCTCAAATAAGCTCTTAAATTTTTAAATATGCCTCAATTTATCTTGTAACTATATATTCAAATATGAATGCATGTGTGTGTGTATATATATATATATATATTATACATGTGATATATAATAAAAACTTTGCCTGTTTAAAAATTTTGCCTTTAGATGCTTTCAGGTGGAGCATGAACTCTCCTGTTCCCCAGTCTTTGCCCCCTTCTTTCTTAAGCTGGGCTCATCACACATTTACAATACCTGCTGGACCCTGAGAGCATTTAATCCATTTCCCATTTGCTCCGAGAATACTCTCCGGTGGCACTTGTGGCTGCAGCATTTACCCCGAGATAACTCATAACTCGCAGCTTATAGTCCTAACCTTACACCCCCAAACTTTGCCACAAAATATCTCACTTTTATTATTATTTTTCCATCGCACTAGTCTATTGATAGTCTTTGGGAACAAATGACATCATTCTGTTTATAGCATTCTGTTTTCAGTAGTGGTATTTCCATTTACAAAATATAGTAATTCTCAGTTGCTGAAAATGTTAAATCCTAGAAAACGTAGCATTCCTATGCATGATGTTAAATTAACGCCGGCAGTAAGCTGCACATTTTTTTTTTTTTTCTAAACAAGAAAAGGGTTAAGGTCTCCACCCCTGTCTTAGGCCAATGTTTGTTGCTTCCTCGTTCCTCGTGAGACATGAGGAAAAGCCCCCTCTGTCTCCTTGGTCAGCCTAAGTGCTGGGGGTGGGATGGGAGAAGGCGTTAAGACCACCACCTCATTTAGATCCCTAGACAGATGCATGAGAGAGGCACAGGTGGCGATGGCCCGGACGATGGCCCGTCCCACGTAGCTCTCTCTTAGCCAGGACAATAGGACTCACCTCTGCCATCTCGATTTTCCCATCCGAGTTTTTGTCATACTTCTGCATGAACTCCTTCATCTTTTCCCCAAAGTTGTCACTCTTTGACATCTGCGGAAAGACAAAGGGGGCTGATTTTGCTGCTGGGTCCCACCCTCTTGGTGCAGCAGTGGTGGGAATCATTCTGCACCCTAAATATGCAGGAATGGAACCATGCTGAGCCAATGTCCTGGCTAATCGGGCTTCTTCCTTTTCCTTTTCAGGATCCCTCCAAATGGTCTCTTCTTCGAGGCCCAGGCATGTTATTTTCGAGGGGGAAGAGCACATGTGGGCATGCCCTGTGCCAGGTAAGTAAACATGCCCTTCCGCCTTTGAGATGAATTAAACCACAACCCTTAGCAAAGGGCAGGGACTTACTTCCACCACTCAGATGTGAGAACTGAGGCCCCAACATTTTACTGAGGCAGCTTCTAATAAAACCCAGCTTAATCCAGTGGCCTCAGACAGGTTCTAAGCATCCCACCAGAGCAAGGCGCATTGCTCATTCTCTTCCTTAAAGACTAACTGGCAATTCCACAATATTTTCATCTCTGATTTTAATGCCAGGAGGAATGTGAGGAGAAAGTCTTTATAGAGTTGGGGGGTCATTTAAATAGTCCATTGGATTACTGTGACTACTGGAAAGGCAAAGAACTTCAAAAGTTCCCTTAGCCCATGGCTGCCTGTCTTAAATGTAAAGATCGTTTGCAGTTCTCAAACCTTCTCTTGGGTTGGAGTGCTACTGATTGATTATTTGCATTAATGAGCTCTTCCTCATCCCTAATCAGGATGAATCTATTTGGGCAGCTGATGCTTCTTCTTTGCTTATCTGATGACTTTGGGGAGGGTTGTGGGTTTCCTAGGACTGGGCCAAGAAGAGTTCTACTAATTCTTAGAGTCTTTCCTGAATTGTTTCTATTGCTTTTCACCTGTTGAACTGGTCTCAATTTGCCAATATTTATTTATCAGTGTTTATCACATTACATTTACAAATGTGCACGGATGCTCCCAGGTCCTTATTCTATTTAATGTGATCATCCTACTTAATTTTTACAACAGTCTCTGTGACATGAGGAGCCTGTTCATTCTTCACACAAATGAAGGGTGAGATGAAGTGACTTTTCCTGAGGTCGCCAGTTACTATAGCCAGAATTTGAACTCATGGCTCCTGCTCCCAAGGCCACTATTCTTGACCGTATAATGGCTGCTCTGAGACACTGTTTGGGATAATATCAGTTGAGATTGTAGTCGACAGACTTGAAAATCACTCCTGATGCCATCTGAGGAAGCCAATGACTAAGAGAAGAATTTCAGATCTGAAGCACTTCATAAAACATATGCCTCCAGCGACTCTATGATCCCAGAATCAGTTGCGAAGCCTGTGTTTTCTGTAATCCAGGCTTTATTATCCTAGTCACGGCAGGTGATGGGGGAACTGTTGATAAACCCACAAATCACCTCCATCGCTTAAGCCCACTGCCTGGATCTCCTCATTAGGATGCTCTGCCAAGCTTTGAACTAGGAGCTCAGTGGTGGATCTGTGACTCATCTCCTGAGCTACTCCACAAAGACTCACTAATAAGCAGTGGATTGACCAACAGATATGCAGCAGGGGAGGTTAGAGACAGACCCCCGAAGGTCTCCTGGGAACTGGGAGGAGGCGGGTCTAACTCCATGTATTTGAGAACCAGGCACAGGAATCACAACAGACTAGCTCCAATCACCTCCCCTTTTCAATAGTTCAGACAGTCCTCCAAAAGGCTCTAGTGAATTCGAATTCCATAGTGCCAGGCTGGCACCAGGGGAAACAACATCCCTGCCGTTAAGGAGCTGGGACGTGATTTGCAGTCACTTCCGGCAGGCTAAGAAGGATGGCCTGACACCTCCACACATGAGGCCAGCCAGTACCATCAGTTCAGATATGGCCTTGGAGCAATCCTCCATTTTCCACACATGAGGCCAGCCTGTGTTGGTGTAGGACAGTGATTCTCTAATGGGGACAATTCTGCATCCCCCGCAGGGGACATCCGGCAATATCTGAAGACAATTTTGATTGTCACAACTTAGGAGCTATGGGTGTCTAGTGTGTAGAGGCCAGGGATGCTGCTCGTCATCCTACAATGCACAGGACAGCCCCCACGACAAAGAATTAATTATGTGGCCCCACATGTCAATAGTGCCGAGGCTGAGAAATCTGGTCTCAAATAAAGGCGCTTGAAACGCCCTAGGGATCCACTCTGAGTGTGACCCCTCTGAGCATCTTAGATAGGCTGTGGACTCTTCACTACGAAAAAACTCTTTTTATACACATACACAGATACAAAGCTCTGCAGTTTGGGTTCACCAACTGCTGGTGTTCATTCATGAACACCCCTCAATCCCAGACACCCAATGATATTGAAGGTACTTTTTTTTTTTTAGAGTATTCAAAATTTTAAAAATCCTTACAAATAAAAGAAAAACTTTAAGGGTCAAGAGCAGAGTTCTCAGGCCCACTAATCCGATGCATAACCCGAGACAGACAATGCTCGGAACCATGGTCAGAATGACAGGAAAATCCCAAACATTGGGGGTGGGGGGCTGGGCTTACCATGCCAGAACCTTTTCTTGCTTTCTCCAGCTCTTGAAAGAAGTTTTCTAATTCTTTGCCTTCAATATACCCATTTCCTGCAAAGATAGCAAAGAAAAAAAAAAGGAATTAACCTCAGAGCTAGAAAGTAAGACCGATGGGGGGGCGGGCGCAGTGGGTAAGTTGGGGGTGTCACGGAGAACTTATCGTCACTGGTCAGGAAGCAGGTGTCTGGGCCAGCCCTGGACTGTTAGGGGTGCTGCTCTATGGTTTGCAACCATAGAGATCGAAGATTAATAACCGCGTATCTTTGGGTTATACATTCTGTAGTCAGGAGACACTGGGAAGGGTCAGCATCTCGGCCAGGCTGGCAGAGGTGAGCAGGAGCTGGGAGCTGTCCATTACCACCAGCTGGGCAAGCAGCAGAAGCTGGAGATCTGACAGGTGACCACAGGTCATCAGCATCAGGGTTTGTCAGCAGGTAGCTGGCCCTGGTCACCCGGGTGAATAAGGTCAGAGGCAGAACTTGAGTCTCTGGGACTGGAAGGTATACTGAATTGAAGAGCAAACCCCTCAAATCCATGTACACCTGGAACCTCCGAACGTAATTGGTTAAGATGAGGTCATACTAGATTGGGGTGGGCCCTGAATCCAATGACTGGCGTCCTTATAAGGCCAGGTGAAGACAGAGAGACAAACAGAGAAGAAGGCCACGTGAAGACAGAGGCAGAGATCGGACCAGAGTGAGGCATCTCCAAGCTAAAGAGCACCGTGAACTGCTGGCAACCACTAGAAGCTTCCTCACCGGGAACCAAGCCCACTGACGCCTCGATCTTGGACTTCTAGCCTCCAGAACCGTGAGAGAATACATTTTTGTTGTTTCAAGACACCCAGTTTGTGGTACTTTGTTACAGCAGCTGCAGGAAACTCATAAAGAAGGAAAGAGCGGAAAGAGAAAAGCAGGGCACCTGTCCTATGGGATGGAGAGAATAGGTCACAGGGATCAAGCACTAGTGGGGGCAGCCCGCTGGGCAGCAATGAAGGGAGGGGCTCTGAGGTCTGTGGACACAGATTCAAACCCTGTTTCCGCTGCACTTACCAGCCATACGACCTTGGGAAAGCTATTTAGCCTGTCTTCGTTATTCTAATTAAGTGGGATTTTGGATGTAAATCCTGTCACCCAACTCATTACGAGTGAACTGTCAATGGTGCTGTTTGAGTTTTCAATGACCAGAACCTGTGTATACGATGGGAATGAATCTGGCTGAAAAGCGGTTTTCAGGACCAGGTCCCAAGGTCAATGCCTGACTTGGAAGATCACCTAAGGAGTGAGAAGTCTTTTAGGTTCTCAAGTCCAGTTGACTTAGAGATCAGAGTGGCTGAGTCCAGGGCCAAGGTCACAGTTCTCTGCTGTGAAGGGTAGGGGGCATTGGTGGATGGGAAATCAGACAGGCCTAAGGGCAGTGCTCCCCAGACTGCTTGCGGTGAATTAGAATCTCCCAGGATCTTTAAAAAAATATGGAGGTGTGGCTCCCCCCACCGCACAACCCCAGATATTCTGATGTAATTGGTCTAGGGTGTGAACTAAGCACGTGATTGTTTTTTTGAAAGCTCCCAGGTGAATTCCATGTACAACATGGTTTGGAAAACACTGGCCTAAAGTCAAATTCTAAAGCTTATCTAAAGTGGTTGAGCAAGGTTCCCATACAGGACAGTCAACTTGAACAGGAAAGAGGGATGGCAGTTAGAATGGAATGACACACTAAACAAAGAAAATAAAAAAGGAATATTTGCCCTGGGCTTAGTGGGGGCTGGGGGTGAGGGTGGAGAGGAGCGGGGTGTGGGTGTGTGTTCTTCCCAGCCTCTCTCCTTAGCGCCTCCCTGAGAACTTAGACTCTGAATAAATTACCTTAGAGGCGCCCTCTAGTGGAGAAGATGCCGAGATAAATGGAAAGAATCAAAGATAAATTATATATTTTTGTCTGGAGGGAAAAGATGTGAGTATAACTGGGGATGGGGGAACGAGACTTGAGTCCTCCTTTTTCCCCTAGGATAAGGCGGTCATCTTTCTAGGATATCCTGCGAAGCTTCTTGGGAGATTAGCATCTCACTGAGTGGGTGTGCCTAGTAGCCTGTGAGGCCAGCCGGAGTTGGGGAGTGAGGGAGGGAAGGAGAGAAAGGGTGGAGGAGGGCTTTCTAGGCAAAAGGGCAGTCCCCTAGTCGATGATAACTCTTGAGTTGGAGGACTGACTACTTCTCTCTCCCTGGTCACTCGCTCCCTACAGTGACCTGCCTGTTTTCTCACTTCTTAGGCAGAAAGCTGAGGAAAGCTCGGGTGCAGCTTCCAGAAGTCCGAGACTGGTGTTGGAGAGGCAGGCTCGGCGCTTACACTGCGAGCAACCATTGGGGCTCGATGAAGAGGAGGCCTCAAAGGTGGCCCAAGCCAGGGCTGGGTGGACACGTGAGTGAATGAGTGAGTGTGCGTCTGATTCTTGAGTGTTCTGAGAGGCGGCTACAGTGACTGACCGCCAGTGCTCCTTGGACAGTGTGGGCAGGGAAGGCCTTGCCGAGAAGCCCCAGCTACCGGCACAGGGAGGAGAGACATCAGAGGCAGAGAGAGGGGCCGGGAGCTGGGTTAGTGCCACTGAGAGCCCCATTCCTGAATCCAGCTCAAGCAGCATGGAGGTTCCCAGAGGCTGGATGAGCCCCTCCAGCCAAGCCAGGAAGTCCCCCACCGCCTCTCTCTGTGTACCCCAACAAAGAGGCAGAAATGTGGTTCAATTCAACATGCCTGCATTTTTCGAACTGAACAACAGTTCGACGGTGCATCCGGAGCTCAGGAACCTATAGCTGAGTTCTAGATTCGGGCCTGTTTTCCAAGAGCGTTTAATGGTTTACTGGGGCAAGGCAGCCAGACAAGAACCACGTGAACCTACCAGCTGCAGGCAGAGGGTGAGGAGCAGAGATTAGATAGGCAGGTAGGAAGTGCAGGACCCAGCGGCGGGGAAAAAGGCCTTTGCTACTTTGGCCTCCCTCAGAGCAACTCCTGTCCACCACCTGGGAGGTGCCGTATGCGGGAGGCTGGGGTGGAGGGCGGTTGGCCTACCTCCTTCCAGGGAAGACTTCGGCACTCGGCAAGTGGTTTGTTTCTTCTACGACTCTCTTACAGGGGGGGTGGGGTGACTGGCCACCAAGCAAATCTCCTGTGGATGAGCACTGATATAGATGTGGTTACCATGGCAACCATCACTCTCAACCTCCGTATCAAACCTATTCTGTGAACCGTAGGGAGAGGGGGCTGGGTGGGAGCCAGGGACCCTGGACCTTTCCTTATTCGACCTTTGCTACCATTATTCACCACCATTGTGCCTCAGTGTTCCTAAGTTTAAAGTGAGACAATACTTCTTTACAGTTAATCTGACCAGATACTTGGAATGCCTTGACTAAAGGACACGCTGCTCCACAGTGGAAAGAGGCCTGTTTGCTTCTCATTGAGACTTGTGAGCACCAGTTTTCTAAGAATGGAACAGGAAAGAGAACCTGAGTGAGAGGCACGATTCTACCAGCATCTCTGTGACTGTCCACGTGACGTGGAGCACGTCAATCCTCCGAGGCTCAACTTCTTGATCTCTAAAATGAGTAGAACTATTTACTTCCTTTCTACCTTAGAGAGCTCTTGTGAGAGCCAGACAAGGCAATATTGTGAAAGCATCGTGGAAAATGTAAAATCTCACTAGCCCAAAGGATTCCAGCTTGACTGCTGTCGTCAGCGTGCTGGTTCTCAGCCCCGGCTGTGTATTAGAACCACCTGGGAAGTTTTTTTTAAAAAGACACCACTGCCTGGGCCCCAGCCCCAGAGCTTCCGATGTAATTGTTGGGGTGGGGACTTCTGGTGGGCAAAGCTCTCTAGGTGATTCTGACGTGCAGTCAGGGTTAAGAACTGCTTTAGAGCAGCGCCTCTCAAATTTTAAGGGTGTGTGAGAATTACCTAGGGATCTTATTAAAATGGAGATTCTTATTTGGTAGGGCTAGAGTCTAAGAGCTTGCTGTTCAAAGTGTGGTCTGTGGACCGGTAGCATCATCGGAAATTACCTGGGAGCTTGTTAAAAATGCAGAATCCCAGGCCCCACCCTGCTCCCCGCTGAACCAGAATCTGCATTTGAACAACACAGGAACATACCCATTTGAGAACCACTGCCTTCAGACGCCGCCGGTGTTTCCTCCTTAGAAGGATCTTGCCTTTGGCTTTGCATTTGAGTCGAGGTGGGGGGCTGACGTGAGCCCGGGATGGTAGACCTGGCTCTCCTATCGACAAGTGTCTCACCTCGATTGACTTGAGGAGCCTAGACCAGTGCCACTCAAAGTGTGATCCGGGACCCGCCAGTGTCAGGATCACCCGAGAGCCCGTTAAAAATGCAAATTCTCGGGTTCCGCCCCCAGACCTAACTGAATCAGAATCCTTGAGAGTGAGGCCCAGAAATCTGTGTTTCAACAGGCTGCCCTGCAGGCTCAAGATTGAGAGCCGCTGGCTCAACGATGCATCATCGGTGTCCTGCTCACTCATCTGTGTTACTCTGTGATGCACAGTTAAGAGAAGATAAAGGAGGGAAGTTAGGCAGTTTCTGACTTCTTTGTTAAGCTGCCCAAGAGGCCAGGCCACTTGGCTGTCTGTCTGGAGTTCCAATCTGTGAGAAGGCAAACAGCCCTCTCCCCGCAAGCCTGAGAAGCCTCTGGGACAGTCAGATGCCATCCTCGAAGTAGGAGATTGGCTTCCTCAGGCTCTGCTCCAACATTAATATTACTTCACATCGTGTATACCGTTTACAAAGAGCTTTGCATTCCCCACCCCATCTGGTCTTCAGGACTCTGCCAGGTAAGCAGACGGCCGTATGGACCCCAAATTAGAGAGGAGGAGTTTGGGGTGAAAGAGATTTAGTCACAGCTCACAGCCTTGTTTCCTTCTACTCATCTCAGGAAGGACCTCCATCCATATCGGCATTTGTCTTGGTCAGCCGTACACACACGCATTTCTCCCAGCGGCTTCTGGGAGTGGGGTAGGGGGATAGGGGTACCCCAGGACAAACAGCTACTGGATGGA